AGTAATAATCAAAATGGTGTAGTTGGTATAGGTACAAAGAGTGAAACAATAATGGAAGTTGATAAAAGTCAAAAAATTCTCAGAAATAGCCGATATAGTCTCGAAGACCGACCCAAATGTATTTGGTCCGTTTGGAGGGAAAGCAGTAGCGAGCATACTTTGCTAAATACTACGCTGATTTCATTGAATCTTAAATATTAAAATGGCCTACAGGCATAAACCAGTCAAGCTCAAGAATGCATGGACATTAAGTCAATGTGTCGCAACGCAACGTATGATAAATAATTTAATATATCATTAGAAAAAAAAAAAAAAAAAAGAAAAGAATGTATTATGATGGATGGTGTTACGACCAAGGGAGAGTCTTGTATCTGTTCGGCCAATTTAGTAAAGGGTCGTAATCATTAACAAAAGATAAATCGAACGTTTTATTAACAAACAAAGGCACCAGAACGTTATAACAAATGTTTCTTTATAGTGTCCCAGACACTGTTAATACTAATATCTTTATTCTTTTACGACTTAGCAAGTCTCAAGGTACTAAACAACTCAACGAAAAACTAAAGAAAAACTAACTCTAAAAATCTAAAAGACTCAAAACTAAAATACATATTGTGCTATATATATCTATGAATAAGCTTTAAAATAAACTATAACCTATTTACAGTCTAATTAGTATACTTCGCTATTAAAATGTTACACAAAGTATATAAAAGTATAAGCAAAGTTTCTAATAGTATAAAGGTTACACAAAAAGTTTAAGTGTGTAACTTTCTTTGCGTAACATTTTCCTCCGCTTGAAGGATGAGCTCCGCTCGAATCCTGATATCCGCAAAAAACTTCCGATTACGTCATGTGCTTCTTATTCGTTCGAAATCGTCGAGGCTGACTCTTTATAATCCATTTTCGATGTCTTTCGCTAAATCGTTCATGTCAGTTACCGTTTCGGGTTTGTAGGCCTTGATTCCCGGTTATCGCAATTCGTTCCGTAAACTCGAAGTTCCATATAGGTTCTATATTTGCAGTTCTTTAGGTGCTATAGGTGCCCCATTCCCCGCACCTACTCGTCATAGCCGTCCCTAATTCGCTACGTCCGTTTGTTTTTTGTTTTTTTTTTTTTTATAAGCATTTCATGCAATCATGTGATCCCGATTCAAGATAATTGCTCATACTTGGAAAATTCCAGTTATATCCAACAGTTAAGTAATTGTGAATTTATGTGAATAGTACTAAAAAAAAATTTTTTTTTTTTCCATTCTATTATACTAATCTGATCAAATTGAATCCTCCGGTTTTTCTCCAGGTTCGAAAACCAAATTGCCAAGATCATGCGTCAGTATTGTTATTATGGTGACTTTTGTCAAACTGATTCTGAATAGCGTCTTCTCTTTAGGTTTGTTTCCAGTATATTTCAGTTACTTGATTCGTTTTCCACTATTGCTGCCGCCACCAATTAACATTTTTTTGTTATCTTTCTCTAGTTTATCATTCGTGCTATCAAGACCTCTTCCCTTTTGATAACAATGCCCTCCTGGATCAAAACATCTATCAGATTTACTATCTACAACTCTTGCACTATACAATCCGGATAATTTAACCTCTTGATTATCTATTGGTATCCTGCTAAACGTAATATCTACAGGGTTCTTATTGCTGAAAGGTAAGCTATTGCCAATATCTTTACATTTTACTATTTTTGTATTGCTAACTTGCTTATTGGTATGTTTCTGTAAACCTAGTAAACTCATGAAGCATGCAACTTTATCCATCCAGGTATTACACATTTTCTGAAGATCATTATCATCTAAACTATATTTTTCAAGAATCTTTGCATCTTGATTTAACACCTTACATGACGGTATATCATTCTTATGATTTTTATGTTTGCTCATATTAATTTGGGCTTTAAATGACTTGATTTTCAGCTTCCACCTTGTATACATAGCTTCGATAGTTTTACTGATAATTAATTTAATGGTCGAATTCTTAGTATCATTCAAAGGACGTACTGCCCAATTGCTCTCATGCCTTTGCTTTACAACATAGTCAACATAGTCATGTTCCTTACTTATGTACCATCCAACATTGTATTGTTCCTTCAAATTGCTATTGCCAAAGTGGCTTGAATACAATTCATATCTCTTGGCATCATTCGGTCTCAATTTTACTGATCTATTTAAATCAGCAAGTAGTTCTTCACACACATTCATGTGAAACGATGTAGATCTATTTTCTGTAGTTTTATTATCGAATAATTATTTGTAGATTCGATCTTTGGAGCTGCTTATTGCTCAACAAAGGTAAGTCATTCTCTTTGTTATTCGTTCGAATCATTTTATCATCATTTTCACTAACTTCTTTGTCAATCTCTTTGCTTTTATTATCTTACGTTATGCTTTCGTTCTTTGTATCCTTAATCGTATTAATTTCTTCCTCTATTTTTTGACTTTTATCAACTTCCATTATTGTTTCACTCTTTGTACCTATACCAACTACACCATTTTGATTATTACT